CCGGCGCCGCCGGGAGCCCCGTCCCTGGGGGTGACGCTCCCGTTGCCCGCCGGGCCCGGGGTTCGCTCTGCGTCGTCCTGGGAGCTGCTCTGAAAAGCCAAGTTGTGACTTCTTTATTCTCCCTTTACACTGTAAATCTGCAGAGCGCTGTAAGACACGACACAGAGCGGGCTGGCGTTCCCGAAACTGATAAATATTTTACCTGAGCCTCGCCCAGCCCAGGAGATATTTGTTTTCCTTCTCTTTTTTCTCCTTTTTTTATCCCGTGATACACAGTGTATTTTCTGGTCGCTGCCCTCCAGCACTGTAGCATCTCGCCCGGTGCTGCGTTAGCGAGTGTTAAACGTGTTCTGTGCTCTACAGATCCCATCTCCGGGGTCCTGCCAACCGACCGGAGCCAGCGCAGAAGCCCTGCGGAATGAAATTGAAGAGCTGAAACAGAAAGACCTTGCTCTAGACCAGGAAATTGCACAATTATTGTCTGAGTACGTCCTTGGCAAGCTCAATGTGATGCCTCCATTATTTTTATTTTTAAAATCAAATATGGTCCAGGAATTATGGCTATAAGCTGACCTCTTATGATGCCATTTTTATCGTGGTGCTATACACCGTTGGTTACAGTGTTGTTTTGAGTTGTGGGACCCGTTAAAGACAAGAGGGAATTCTTTCTGGTTTATTTGGTAAAGCAAAACAAGTTTTACTAGGAGCTTGGATAAGAAGATTTTAACTTTACCCCAGATGTGGCTGAGGTTATTACGTGTAAATTGGGAACAAATAATTTTAACCATGGCATTACAGCACATCATGCTACCAGAAGAGCTTGTTCATGTGAGAATTAAAATCGAGCTCGTGACTTGTATGACCTGCCAAGTCCCAGATAAAACTGTTTCCTTTTTTGTTCCATCTCGATCAAGTGTTCACTTGTTTTGTGTCTGAGGCGAGTGGGTTAAACCTTTGTGTTCAAGAAGCAGAGATGTTTTCCAGACAAGAACGCTCTGGCAGGATGGGTGCCACGTACAGGATGGCGCAACTGGTTTATCGTGGTTTCTTATGACTGTGGCAGCTGCTTATTAGCAACTGTTTTGAGATAAGATTGCTGCTTGATTTTTAAAGAGAGGGAATCTCTGTGGGTTATTCGTTGCGAAGGAGTGATATTTTTGAAGATAGTGTAGTGCATAAAATGGAAATGGTAGAACAACAAAGGCTGTTCCAAAGCTTTTTTTTTTTAGCCTCAAGGATAAACAAACCCTTTTTTTTTTTCCCTAGCTACAGATTAGAGATACATATAAGCTTAATTCACCACAGCCTATTCCTCTTTCTCCTTGATTCTGAGATTCGGGTGGATTGTTTTTTTTCTTTTTCTTTGATAAGTCTTGAATGTGGCAAAAACCCTCAAAATGAGGATCTGCTCATTTATAGCTTTTGTGTTTATGACTTGCAGCAACTGTACTTGCTGCCTTCAGATTCTGCTTTAGAGGTGCCAGGTTTGGGTATCTCAGATATCCTTGCCGTGTTTGGTCGGTAGCGGCAGCACTTGCTGTGCAGCAGCAGCAGCAATCCCGCTGTGTCATTTTTGACCTTTCTGGCTTTATTGTTGCAGAGGCTACAGCCTGGAGGAATTGGAGAAGCACATCTCTCTGCTCCATGAGTATAATGATATTAAAGACGCAGGACAGATGCTGCTAGGCAAGCTGGGTAAGGAAGGGGAAGGCTATTAACTTCTTAATCAGTGTTTTCCTATAGACAGAGAGAAGCTGCTACGCCATAAAGGCCAAGCTTGTTTTAAAGATTCTTCAATTCTAGGCTTATATTACCCAATCACTTGTGCAAGCACAAACGCTTCTGTTGTTATTTTCTTGGGATGTTTTTAGAACTGAACATGTGAAATAATTGTTATTTACTGGTATTTTAGTCTGTGTTATGGGTGACCAAGATTTGATAAGTCTTCTTAATTTGTGCCAGTTTTGTTTTTCATATGCTTAAAAAAAGTGTTGAGACAAGCAGCAGGCATAGCTGCAAAACCTTAGATTGGTTTCTTAGCTATGGGAGGTTCTGTGGGATGGATAGGGGCCACTGGGAGGAAAACACAACTTTTCTGACTGCTGCGATCTTTGTTTCATGAAAGCGATGGTATTTCTTTCTTTTCTAGCTGTTATCCGAGGGGTTACTACAAAGCAGCTCTACCCCGAATACGATCTGGAGCTTAGCGACTAGTCCTGAACCTGAAGGCTGCCACGTCCTGCAGAAATGACTGTTACTGGGCATTATGTTTTGGTGTCGTGTCGGTTTAGAACTGATAGAAGGTGGCCTCAGAAGCATGTATGTAGAATTGCAACAGAGTGCGGGTTAACAGCCTTATTTCTAGGAAGCTTTGGAACATGAAAGTTGTTCAATCTATCAACTGTTTCCTGCTTGTGGGAAAGGGATGTAGGACTTCAGATAATTTTGTTTACTACCTGATCAACAGTATTTTTATTTTTTTATTGGAAAGGTTTTAATTCAGGTTGATCTTAAGACTCTTCCCGTTGAGGCTTTGCTTCTCTACAACATCCAGGGGCTATTTGGATACACTCATCTGCAGGTGGCAGCAGCTGCTACCGAATGGACAGAGGAAGTGCGGGCGTACAAATGTGCAATGTAATAGCTGCTTTGAAAGACAAGAAGAAAAACCCTCAGAAATAGGGAGGGAAGAAGGCTGAAGTGGTGGTGGTTTGGGGGTTTTGCTTTGTTTTATGATCAAATCTGGATAAGTCTGGGTGTTCTCTGTTTTTGTACTTAACTGCTCTGGTATCTGGAGGTTTTGTATCATTTCTGTAGTAAATGGCAAAATGTGAAGTTGTGTTGAACTGTCTGGTCTGAATAAAGCAGCTATCACATTTCTCAGTAATTCACTTTAAGAGCCTATCAAACATTGCATGAACCCGGCAACAAATTCTTAGACTATATTCTGAGATGACTATAACATCTATTATTCAAATGTTTTCTGAGGGCTCTTAATGGAGGCAGTGCGGCAGCACTACCATGTAATGGGGAGGTGCGGAATTACCTCTGCTCTCCTCTAAATGCAGAGTCACCGTGAAAGTGAGCGGTGTCCTAAACTCAAAATTATGTTGAGAGCATGAATGCTTCGATGTCAGGTGCTAGGATTGAGGGTGACTGTACAGACTAAATTTGGCTGCTTCGTGCAGTTCTAAATGATGAAGTGCTCTGCTGACTGCAGATCCATTGTCCCTCTTTCACTCGAGCTTGATGTCCTTCTGCTCACTTCTACTTCTAAGATCTTCCCACCAGTAAGTTCCCCCCGTGGTCTCCAGTCAGGCCCAGGCTGTGGTCTGCTCATTACTTCCAAATTTGAATCAAATGAATCTGTCTTCAGAGTGCTTGGAAACCAGAAAGCGGTCACAAAGGCTGCTGCTGAAAATAGAGACTTGGTTTTGTGCTCTCTGTTCTGGACCTGGTGCAGAAACATCACTGAGTATCTTGTTTTGCCACAAAAGCCCTGGGGAGGGGTCTAAAGCGGGAGGACAGACAAGGGATCTGCATTCAGTGATTCATTCAAGCAAGCCTCTGCTAACGTGCAGCTCCGCTTCTCTGGAGGGTATTCGCTGTGGCCCTCTAAGGATGGACCCTCGCGGGTACGGTTACAGGCACATCCTCCCCACCATCACCCCTCTCTTGCCAAGTGTGGAAAACTCCTGTGTTTTGGAGTAGTTTTAGGGGGAGGAAAAAAGTCACAAGAAGGGCAGAACCGGGAAATGCTAACTTTGTTCTTAAAACCCGCGTTGCTGTTTTGGCTGGTATTTTCTGTGTGAAAGAACTGGTTTAGCCCGGAGCGTTCTAAGCAAAATGTTCGTCTGGCAATGGCACAAGCAACTGGAAATGTTTTTTTGCAATGGGAAATATGTACAGAAATTCCTTCCGTTTGCGTAAGGTGTAAGCCAGATGAGATGAAGTATACTCCATTACCAAAGTTACTGAAGGTTATTTAAGGACTGAGAAGTCCATGTTTCCTTCTCCTTCATTAAAACTTGCAGCTGTGGCCATGCAATTGTTCTGCCCAGCTCCAGAACTCACGCGTCCGTGGTGATGGCTTTAGACTTCAGTTAGCACAAGCCGGTGGTCTGAGGACGGTGCCCTGGCCCCAGTCCCTCGTCCACGGAGGATGGATGCGCACAGGACCAACCAGCTGAGGTAAGAGCAAACCGCCCTCGGGGAGTCCCTGCGGCTCTGCAGCTGGCACGGTAACAGCTCCGCTCCGCTGCTGTTCGGCTGCTCTGTGCAGAGCAGGGAAACCCAGAGCAACTGAAAGATTCCAGGGTGTAAGCGAATGACTCCTGGGATGCTTCAGGACAGGGCTGGACTCGGCCACTTGGGTACTTCATCACGGCCCCTCTTACCGCTCCTCCCAGAGTTACTTCTTGTACCTTAAAAGCTATGTGGAGGATAAAATATGTGGGCGTTGGTCCAAATCCAGAAGAGGAATAGAACAAATCCCTTCTACCTATTTCTATAAGTAAATCTCCAAACTCTCTAACCATGTGTATAGCTGGAAAAACACCGAGTGCAATAATGGTAAGTGTAACTTCAGATTTTTAATTTAAATTTAGAAAGTGTGTTTCTGCTAAGTCCGACCCAGCTATCGTGAGCTAACGGATAACAAATGGTAGCACAGAGCTTACAGAGTTTCACTGAAAGGCAGTACGTGCTGTCTGCATGGAGCTGCTGCAGAGCAGGATACCGAAGACCCCGAATACCCTTGGTTTCTCCGGGGAAAAAAAAAAAAAAAAATAGCAGCATGCTCTTTTTTTAAATGAATCCGTGTGCTCACAGATGAGTACTCAGCCAAGAAACAGCCTCTTCCCCTTTAGGTCACTTTTATTTCTTGTGCATCAGTCCCCGTTACAAGCCTCTTCCCTTGTCACACGCCTACTCTGGATATAACCATTTCCTTGCATTGCTTTGCGTAAGCTGTGTTTTCTCCTGCACATCCCTCTTTTAGTCTGATTTTGAGCTCTTATGTGTCTGAAAGCAGGACTAATGGAAAAAAAATACTCTAGGACAACAGAGGGAAAATAAAATCCATATAGTAGATAAGTTATGCTGCCAGTTGCAAGGAGCAGACAAACCCGTGCAATCAAGGGAATACAGCTCTGTAAGACACGGTATTTCCTGCTGCTAAACAATTCGGGGATGGGTTTTTATATCCCTTAGCAACCTAACGTTCCCAAAGTCAACAGGAATTTTGGCACAGCTAACTCCTGTTAATGAACTGTTCGCAATGCTTTAAAAAAAAAAAATTATGCAGCCTGTCAGTGAAAAAAATGCCTCTCTGATTAAAGTCATCTCAAGGAAAGGGTGGAAGTGAACTGCAATTAACCTCTTTCCTTCTGCTGTCCATCATGCTGTCAGCACGTAGCTGCGTCATTGCGCTACAGAGATCGCTTGTGGACGTTCCCTCCGCAGCGCAGGCTCAGCGCTCTGCAGCGTGGGCCATCTCGGCATCCATCTTAGGAAGACAACTTCTCTCCTGATGGCCTAGCGTTTTCTCTATCTCTGTTTTCACTTTAAGCTGACAGTCCCGAATTGCATTCTGTATACTCTGCAGGTTCCACTGCGTTCTCAGGAGAGCATCATCCAGTGTGAAAACACCGTCGCGTATTCTTCGCACTTGCGTGCACACAGCAGATGACTTCAGCTCCAGACCAATCTCATGAACTATTTTTCGGAGGTACTGCTGCGTCTCGTGCAAGCAATGGATTTCTAGAAGGACAGAGAGATTCCGTCAGAAGCAGCAAAGCACTGACACAAATTCAGACCTGGTCTGTAAATCCAGGCATCGCTGACAGTTATGCTGAAAGAACTGATTTGGTAGAAGAGACTATTTAAGATACAGCACGAGTGGACTCCGATTTTCTGGAATACTGCAGGGTGTCCTAGCACCTCCCAAAGTGAATGTTTTAGAAGACAAACCCATAGATACAGGAGAGTAATGTAGAAATTTAGGTATTTCAAAGGGGATAAGAAAAGGTACCTTTTTAATAAGGCAAATAATTTGTGAGGGGTAGGAGACCGGTTGCAGGAAAGCAAACTATGCTTTAAAAAAAAAAAAAAAACCACCACACTGAACTGTATTACACTGAAACATTGGGATAAGGAAGAATTTTGCCCCATAGGTATTCACTATGCCAATTTTCTTGTCTCAGCCTTGTATCTGGAACTGGCAGGGAAAAACCTGTGAGCTAGGCGCGCAGCTGGCTTGATTCACTACAGCAGCTTCAGTACTGTGAGGGTTTCAGATCTTGCCCTGCCGAAAAAATCTTTCCACCACACGAAAGAGTTCATCTAACGAGGAGATGCTTTTGTGACTTTGGAAACTACAAATGATTAAATTTTCTGCAGGGATTGCCAGTTACAAGTTGATACAAAGTTCCCACCAACTCATTTTGCATTAAATCATGAATAAGAAACTAGTTTACCGACTTATTTGCCATAATATATACTCAGACTTCCCCAGTAGTTTTTGTACCAGTCCTACCTAGCTGGAATTCTGGAAGCGCAAACTGGAGGCATCGGATTGCTGTGATTATCGGAGGGCTTTTTCCCATGGGGCGAATCAACCCTTTGACAGCCAGCTCGTACGCCTCTTGTGTTTTCATATCAATGTTAGAATGCCTAGAAAAAAAGGAGCAGAGCAGACACTTACTACTTCTCTTCAATGGGATTCAAAATATCTTCTCCCCTGATAAAGCAGAGCTGCAATTTTTATTCTTAAAACTGCCTATGTGTTATGTCTTTGCATACATTTTAATGCTATATATACTCAGTTGTGTAGCATGGTTTGGGAGGGAGGTACTTGGTCATGTCTACAAGATATTTTTGTAGGTCCTAATGTAGCTAATAGGTCCTAAAATAGCTGGAGATTTCAAGATACAAGGGCTGCAACCTCTCACCAGAGTACAGAGTAACCTCTCTGTTCTTGTCTAGCACTCCAACCTTGAAAGACTGATTCTGGCAAACAAAGTCATCCCATTTGTTTTAAAGACCAGCAAATGGCAGTCAGATCGGGTGAGCTGCATTTCCCCATTGGATACGTACATCAGCAGGGCCTTATGATTTGTTCCTTGAATGACGGCGAGAATCCGTTCCAGCTTCTCCCTTGTGATATGATCTGCAAATATTAAGGGAGAAAGAAAGTCTCAATTAGCCACCCAGACACTGGAAAGAGACAGCAGTCTGAAACGTGCTGTCGGGGTATTGCTGTCCCTTTGGCAGGCGGTCACGTCGAACTGGGCTGATGAGAACCGCCGAGAGGTGGCTTTAGCAGCGTCACTTCTGGCTGTGCCGTGGTAATGCACAGAGCAGCGCGGCGCTGGCCCACAAAGGGAAGAATCTTTTTGCTTAATTGATTTCAGGAGGTTGGCTCCAGTTTCTCTTACCGGGCGTTTGAAGAGTTTCATTCAATGAAAGCTGCTAACCGCTATCTCTAGGTATGATTTATGGAGAGATCTGGATCCCACCCAATCCAGCGGCAGGCACCGCGATCAGGGCTCACGCTGGCTTTCTATACATTGCGGTTGTATTTAGCACAGGACTGCAACGTCAGGACCGCGCGCGGACTGCATGCACAAATAAAAACTAGAAAGCATGGCAGGCACGCCTTTTGTCTCTGTGCAATCACCAGGTTAAATGCTTTGCCAGGTGCAATTTACCAGGGAAAATGCTATTTGGTGTTCTGTTTTTGTTTAAAAACACATCAATTGAGTTTCTTACCAAATGTTGTCTTCTCCACTAGCTTCCCTGTGTCTGAGAAGTCATCAGTGGCTTTACCAAACAGCCCACCGACAGTGTAAACCTTGAAGAAGGGCAAAGAGTGCAATTTATCAAAGAAACACTCCAAGCAATTGCGTAGCAATATTCTGCTGTGCAGCTGCTAGGAAGTGCAGGTTATGATGATGTTGCACAAAAAGACAGCAGCATCCTCTCTCATACGGCCACGTGTGGATGCTCACGTGAAGGATGAATTCGGGACCCTAAAAAGCTCTCAAAGGCATTGGGGGGTTTGAGGCTCAGAAGCAGAATCACCGCCACGAGGCCAGCCCGGGGCACCGGGGCAGGAATCAAGCGCGAGGTCGCGCTCGGATGTTCCGAGGCCCCTCGGAGCCATCACCTACCTTGGTGAGGTGGCAGTCGTACAGATCAGTGAGGAGCTTGTTCCCGTGGCCTATGCCAAGTACTGAAACACAGAAGATGGGGAACCCGTTATTCAGCCACACGGGAAGCAACTGACGTGCTTTTACACAGCACTGCGCACTCACGGTACTTTTCTCCCCCCCGGACAGGGCCAAGTCGCCCTAGAGGTCACGTCTGAGCAGCGCAATCAGACCCCCAAGTTATTGCCTGGCATTAGGGCTGGAAGGCTGTAACTCGGGCTCTTGGATTTCCCCAGAACTTTCCACCCGGGCAGGGCAAATGCCGGCCACAGTGAGGCCAATTCAAGCGGCGGAGCAGAGCCGGGGGTTACGCGGCAGATCACCGACGGTGTCAGGGCAGGAGCTCGGTGTCTCACAGCAAAGCCCTGTGCGCTGGGGGCAAGGGGCTGCTCCCCTCTCCTGGCACTGCCAGCGTCTCGTTGCATCGTTGCTTCTGTGTTTTAGCGTTTATGCACCCCGGGCTGCGAGACCCGGGGCTACCGCTGTGTAAAGGCTGAGCGTCCACCGCTTCGTCCCCACGCAGAAACCCCTGGCCCTGCAGCCGGCGGGATGCGGTGCCGCTCCGGGACGAGACCCACCGAAGACTCCCGAGGCCTTCACGTCCAGCCGGGGACCCGCTCCCC